TTTGGTCGACCATGGCGAGGCCTGTTCTGAGTGGAACCTGTCCTGTTAAACCGCTGTATGGTCTTGGCCACCGTGCTGCAGCTCAGTTTCAGGGTCTTGGCAATCTTCTTATAGCCTACGCCATCTTTATGTAGAGCAACAATTCTTTTTTTCAGATCCTCAGAGAGTTCTTTGCCATGAGGTGCCATGTTGAACTTCCAGTGACCAGTATGAGAGAGTGAGAGCGATAACACCAAATTTAACACACCTGCTCCCCATCCACACCTGAGACCTTGTAACACTAATGAGTCACATGAGACCGGGGAAAGAAAACGGCTAATTGGGCCCAATTTGGACATTTTCACTTAGGGGTGTACTCACTTTTGTGGCCAGCGGTTTAGACATTAATGGCTGCGTGTTGAGTTATTTTGAGGGGACAGCAAATTTACACTGTTATACAAGTGGTACACTCACTACTTTACATTGTAGCAAAGTGTCATTTCTTCAGTGTTGTCACATGAAAAGATATAATACAATATTTACAAAAATGTGAGGGGTGTACTCACTTCTGTGAGATACTGTATACCACAACATCAAATGAGCTTCACCGGAAGTTTACAAGCTGGCTTATATTTATGCGGAAGTTCTAAAGAACGCTCTGTGAATATAGTGGAATATATGGTAAATTCACTCTCTGACAGCAGGCGGCACTTATGGAACAGCAGCTATACAGCGGTTCCCTGGTTACCGCAGTAAACAAAGCAGTGCTGCGCTTATAAAAACTACTTTAATATGCATTATACAAAGTCAAGATGAAAAGAAAAAAACATCTAATCTTTTCTAAAGACAGTAAGTTCCCCTCAGAGATACATTCATATAAACTACCACCCCCAAATGTATCGTGATTCGTTTTAGGGCTGCCACTAATGACTATTGTTATTTCTATTAATCTATCGACTAATTTATCGATTAATCTAAACAATTAATTTCCCACACAAAAAAATCAACAATTTTACTTAAGAATATTTTATTAAACTATATTTCATTAAACCAAATGAAATCCAAAAGTAAAAAAGTAAAGTGCAACAAAGTGCAAGAAGCATGTGTCCATCTCATAGTCCAAATCACTGAAATCAAAGTTCAGTATTATAGTGTAAGAATGACAACATATCCACGTGTTCTAGTCTACTAATAATAAAATTATAATCAAAAAACAATTTTTAAAGGAGTATTTACCAGAAAGATGGGAAAAAAAATGCAAATGTGCAGTATTTCTGAAATTTATTAAAAAAGAAAAACTGAAATATCACATGGTCCTAAGTATTCAGACCCTTTGCTCAGTATTTAGTAGAAGCACCCTTTTGATCTAATACAGCCATGAGTCTTTTTGGGAAAGATGCAACAAGTTTTTCAGTGTACATTAATGAGGAAAAAAAATTAACTTAAATGATTTTAAAATGGCTGCAATATAAAACAGAGTGAAAAATTTAAGGGGGTCTGAATACTTTCCGTACCCACTGTATATATACACACACACATACATATATATACAGTATATATATATATATATATGATCCTATAAATAATCCGTACCATTTAATTTCAAAGCCTATAGCATGAAAATGTTTCATGTTTTAATATAAATTCTAGTGTTTTGTTTGTTATATTCCAAAGAAAATAAATTATACATACATTTATAAATGTAAATTTGATTGGTTAGGTGCGTGTGTATTAGGGATGGGCCGATTACCGGTTTCAAGTTATACCGCGATTTCAAAATTTCAAAATTTTCATGTCTCTTCAAAGACTGAAAGTGTAGGAATCCCTCAGGTTGAGTGCAGTGTAGAGAGTAACATGACCATCCTCCTCCTGTTGGTGCGAGCGCGGTCAGTCATGTGTGTGCATGATGGCCGAAGGAGCTTCCCCTGGAAGTTACGCGATCGGCAACCGGCCGTTTTTTGTCTTATTGCAGCTTGTCTCTGTTCTGGACGCCCGTTAACAGAGGCCAGAGATGCTGAAGACGGACGCAAAGAGAAAAATACTGTAGAAGGCAGATCACTCACTGTTCATGATGCACAAACTATTGGAAGAAAATCCTCAATATTGATTTGGGGGTTTATGAATGTGTTTCTGAGGGGAACTAACTGTCTTCATAAAATTTACGTGGTATTTTCTTTTCATCTTGTCTTTGTATAGTTCATATTAAAGCAGTGTTTCAGCGCAGCGCTGCGTTGTTTACAGCGGTAACCAAGGAAACGTTGTATCTGGTGTTCCAGAAGCGCCTCCTGCTGTCAGAGAGTGAATCTGTATCTCATTCAGAGCATCTGCTGTTTGTTTCATTCAGGCATGTAGTATAATTTCACAAAGCTAGTCAGAACCAGTGTTGGGGAAAGTTACTTTTAAAAGTAATGCATTACAATATTGCGTTACTCCCTAAAAAAGTAACTATTTACGTTACTTAGTTACTTTTTATGGAAAGTAATGCGTTATATTACTTATGTGTTACTTGCGCGTTACTTTTTAAATATAAGCAGGGCTTGATTGTTTTTAATATAAGAAGTTCTATTTACAGCAAATGTAAAAGCCCTTTCACACCAAAAAATTTAATGAATAAACCTCAGGCTGAAGCAAAAGTAAATTCACGTCTGTACAGTAGAAAACCCAGGAGAAGAAACACTCTTCAGCAATAAAAAAACAAAGCACAATTGTTAGTTTCTCTAAAGTCATTTTTGCTTAGTATGGTTGAACTGGATTATCAAAGGTCAGCAGCAAAGATATTGGTTAATAAAATGGAATTAGATACATTTGTGTTATTTAACATATCTAATTATTGCAGGTATGTGTCATATTCTGAGTTAGCATTTCACCGTTTTAATTCATTTTGATGAATACTAAATCTGTTTTTTGTGAGTGGGATGAATTAATACACATTAACATTTAGTCTAGAACTACAGTAACATCATGTTCACACAGCGCACACAACGCCTCTGTACTCCCGATTTCTCCCAATATGGGGACAGGAGAGCTGTCAGTCAATAAATGGTAAACAAAGTAACTGGCATTACTTTTTTGAAAAAGTAACTCAGATATTTTCTTGTAAATTAAAGTAATGCGTTACTTTACTAGTTACTTGAAAAAAGTAAACTGATTACGTAACTCGCATTACTTGTAATGAGTTAACCCCAACACTGGTCAGAACATTCTGTTTTTGCTTCAAATTGGGTTATTATTAAATCAAATTATGTATATGAAATTATATAAATAAATGATATAAATTATATATATATTATATAACTAAAATTAAATAACTGTAATTACAGATTTAGGTTAAATAAAGATGCCAGTCTTTATTTTTCTTCTTTTTTTCTTTTTCTCATCAAAAGCGGCAAGACAGCCCACAATTCAGCAAACATTTCAGAAACAAATCAAAGAAAAAATAAACAAATACTGCTGTTCCAAATATTCAGTATGTTGCTCAAAAATAAAATATATTGTGTTCAGAGGAAATTTTTTTTTTTTTTTACCCAGACATTTAAAAATAACAAATTTTAGAGCTGTAACAACAATACTGTAATACCGTGAAAGGTTATCATACCGTCAAAATCTCATACCGGCCCATGCCTAGTGTGTATGTACCTGTGAATCATGGAGTTGGTTATGGAAACGCTGGATAAGATCGTTGAGTTCATCATTGAGCTCTGAGGTAATGCTCCTGCCAGACACACTTCCAGTAGTCTCTGCAACAACTGTAACACAAGAACAATGTCAATTAAAAACGGAAACAAGTCTAATTTCAAGAAGCATGAAGTAAACTTGTTCCCCGCACCAGTGTCATCCATCACTGCTATGGCTTGTTCAGCGCTTTGCTGCATGGCCAGTAGTGCTGCCTGACGGCCTTGTAGTGCTCGGAGTTGTTCCTGCTGTTCCAGCATCTTTTTCAGTAGATCATGCTGCTTTCGCATATTCTCTAGCTCTTCTTTCTGCTCTCCACACAACCCATGGCCCTGAGAAGTAGAGAGAAATATATCATAAGATAAAATGACTAGTATCAACCTGTGGAACTATGCAATAGCAACAACATGCTGAGGCTGCAGGTTGTTAAAGAGACATTACAGTCAGCTAAGACCTAGGCTCAACAACAAGTATCACCGCCGGCCAAGCTAACAGTTTTAGGCCAGCGAACTCAACTGTCATTTTCAAGAAAGCATACAAAAATGTATCTTACATTAGCTCATCTTGTAAACCATTTTATGCTTTGGTAATAATTTGGTTTTCTGTGATGTATTGAACATTGTTGGTGTGAATTGTGCTGATTCGATACTGATAACATTACCACACAATTTTGAGAACCGTCTACACACACCTTGGCAATATAATCGCCATTGGCTAGTAATTTTTTTTAGTTTGCACGCCATACTGATATACTATTTCACACACACACATATATATACACATATATATATATAAAATATGTATTTAATTCCACCAAAATAAATCCACCAATTCAGCTTATCTTTGTATACAATATACAACACACTAAGGATTGAAGAGCAACTGGGTTCATGAATATTAAGATTGATTATTGATTCAGTGTGGTATGTAAGACTCTCGCTCACTCTCTTTGCATGTGTGAGAAACAGCGCTATCAGCAAAGCGACGGCGAGTCGTGAGATTTCACACTATTGTTTACGGTACATCTAATACAGGTATGCTGCGCATCCATTGAGAGGAATTTAAATAGTGCAGATCGCTTGACGGAGAGCGAATTGTGATTTACTCGCAATGTAGAGGGTTGTCTTTGAAGCATCAGTTATGATCAGTTTGCAGCAAAAATGGGTCAAGTAATTACATGATATCTATTTCATTTCCAGCTATTATTGTGCATTTAAAATGTTTTTTTCTTGCAGAAAACTCAAAATATAAATTTACTGACCCGAACAGGGGCCAGTTCCAGAAACATAGCCAGTGTCTTAGGGTGATTCCACACTAGCACTTTTGGTGCGCACCCAGGTTCGATTGACGTCAGAATATATCATAAGATAAAATGACTAGTATCAACCTGTGGAACTATGCAATAGCAACAACATGCTGAGGCTGCAGGTTGTTAAAGAGACATTACAGTCAGCTAAGACCTAGGCTCAACAACAAGTATCACCGCCGGCCAAGCTAACAGTTTTAGGCCAGCGAACTCAACTGTCATTTTCAAGAAAGCATACAAAAATGTATCTTACATTAGCTCATCTTGTAAACCATTTTATGCTTTGGTAATAATTTGGTTTTCTGTGATGTATTGAACATTGTTGGTGTGAATTGTGCTGATTCGATACTGATAACATTACCACACAATTTTGAGAACCGTCTACACACACCTTGGCAATATAATCGCCATTGGCTAGTAATTTTTTTTAGTTTGCACGCCATACTGATATACTATTTCACACACACACATATATATACACATATATATATATAAAATATGTATTTAATTCCACCAAAATAAATCCACCAATTCAGCTTATCTTTGTATACAATATACAACACACTAAGGATTGAAGAGCAACTGGGTTCATGAATATTAAGATTGATTATTGATTCAGTGTGGTATGTAAGACTCTCGCTCACTCTCTTTGCATGTGTGAGAAACAGCGCTATCAGCAAAGCGACGGCGAGTCGTGAGATTTCACACTATTGTTTACGGTACATCTAATACAGGTATGCTGCGCATCCATTGAGAGGAATTTAAATAGTGCAGATCGCTTGACGGAGAGCGAATTGTGATTTACTCGCAATGTAGAGGGTTGTCTTTGAAGCATCAGTTATGATCAGTTTGCAGCAAAAATGGGTCAAGTAATTACATGATATCTATTTCATTTCCAGCTATTATTGTGCATTTAAAATGTTTTTTTCTTGCAGAAAACTCAAAATATAAATTTACTGACCCGAACAGAGGCCAGTTCCAGAAACATAGCCAGTGTCTTAGGGTGATTCCACACTAGCACTTTTGGTGCGCACCCAGGTTCGATTGACGTCAGAGTTTGGTACGTTTGGACGATGTGAACGCTGTCTTCCGAACTCAGATGCGCACCCACGAAACGTACCCGAGTCCGCTTAAAAGGGGTGGTCTGGGGTACGGTTCAAGTTTTTGTTCAAATGGTTTCATTTCGCTCCCATCGAGTTAAAAACACAAATAAATGCACAGCAATTTGCACTCTGCATCGAAAACATATATATGAACGCGCTGTTACGTGCTGTTGCACCTCTGAGAACTTGTAAGGCTTATTCTGTGGCGTTTATGTAAGCCTTTTGACGGGTTGCGTCACAGAGCTGTAAAAACGGTTATGATCACCAAGTGAATGAATCCTCTCATAGGATAAGAACACGCAGTCGCATTAATAATTTAATTATATAGTCCATTGCCACGTCACAAATTGTGACGTCAACACGATGTAGATTTTAAACCCGGAAGATGAAAATAGCACAAAAAAGCTTAAAATTAATCAGTTTTCTCCAACAGTTAAAATTATCGGATGCTAATATTGTCTTCTATGATGTGCAACATAATCACCTCTGCTAAAATCTCAGAAAAAGTAGTCTGGGGTTTCATGACCCTTTAAAGGGGTCATATGATGCAATTTCAATTTTTCCTTTCTCTTTGGAGTGTTACAAGCTCTTGGTGCATAAAGAAGATCTGTAAAGTTGCAAAGACTCAAGTCTCAAATCCAAAGAGATATTCTTCATAAAAGTTAAGAGTCAACCACACCTACCTAAAATGGCTCATTCTAACACGCCCCCACATGTCTACGTCACAATGTGGGAAGACTTGCATAACGGCAAATGTTCACGCAAAGAAAGGCGGCGTAACTTTTATTCTCGCTGTAGTATTGTTGTTGCCGCCGCCGCCATGTCGTGAAGGCGCTTCGTGTTTCATTGTGAAAGCGAAACTACTTTGTTTGGCCTTCCAAAAGCGGGCACGACTAGAAATCAGTGGTTAAGTTGTATTTACAACACTGTTCCAGAACAGTTCAACCCAAATATTCAGATGTGTGCAGCACATTTTATGGAGGACTGTTTCCTGATCCTGTGAGAGTAGACTACAATGCCGGCTGTTCTGACTCACAGACTGTAAGTTAGTTTACATATTTAAAGGATTTGCCACTGATGATTCAAACGCGAGTTTTGAGCAGTGTAGAGTAGGGCTTGTTGTTTGTCATTTCTCCGATCACAAACGCAGACATGGTTTTATGTTTATGTGGCGCGATGCAACGCAACGCGTAAAAAGACAGTATAAGTCATTATAATCCGTAATTATGTCCCCACTGGATGCAACAAATGCCTCGTTTATAACGGGTTTTAATGTTTTTGTCTCGACGCTCCGGCCGGGACACAGCATCAGAGTATGGTAAAGGGCGTAACATTTCTGTCACACACTTGAGGTATTCGGCCAATCACAACGCACTGGATAGCTGGCCAATCACAGCACACCTCGCTTTTCAGACCGATGAGCTTCGTAAAAATCGATGCGTTTCAGAAAGGCAGGTCATAGAGCAGAAACAATAATGTAAAGTATGTGGAAAATAATGTGTTTTTTTTAATTATAATCCGTAATTATGTCCCCACTGGATGCAACAAATGCCTCGTTTATAACGGGTTTTAATGTTTTTGTCTCGACGCTCCGGCCGGGACACAGCATCAGAGTATGGTAAAGGGCGTAACATTTCTGTCACACACTTGAGGTATTCGGCCAATCACAACGCACTGGATAGCTGGCCAATCACAGCACACCTCGCTTTTCAGACCGATGAGCTTCGTAAAAATCGATGCGTTTCAGAAAGGCAGGGCATAGAGCAGAAACAATAATGTAAAGTATGTGGAAAATAATGTGGTTTTTTTTAACCTTAAACCGCATAAACACATTTCATTACACCAAATACACAAAATAATGTTCTTTTTAGCAACATCATATGACCCCTTTAACACTGCAGATCACTGATTGGTCAGAGAGAATCGTCACTACCAGCGTCACTGGATTTATGACACAAATCACGAATCATGGTAGTAGAGGCGGCGCAACTAGTCTATAATCCCACCCACTTTGAAGCAGTACTAACTAGAGATGCACCGATTGCAATTTTCTTGGCCGATTACGATTTCCGATTTTTTGGAAGTGTGATCTGCCGCTACCGATTTCTAACTTTAATAAATGTGTCATCTTTCACATCAAATTCTTACTTTGTTTCAATTAATTCAGTTAGAATAATAAGAAACTGTAGAGTTGTTGCTATTCAAATGAAATTAGTATTAACAAACTCTATCTTTCCACTGCTGAGGAAACAGAAGCTGCATCTGAAGTGGCATTAGATGCATTTACACAGTTTGATGAAGCTGAGGTGCCATAAATGCATTTACACTGCAAAATTTCAAATGCATAAATAATTTTATAAGATTAATGTTATAAATATTTTTTTGAACATACAAATAAATGTTGAAAAATTTTAATGATACTTTTAAATATGACTAAACCACCAGTATGTGGCAGCAAATGTCTGTTTTAATGAGTGACTAATTTATTCATTCATTCAACCGATTCAAAATAAAAGGATCGGCTGGCCAGTCAATCGGTGCATCTCTAGTACTAACTGCAGTGGAAAAGCAAGCGAGCCGAGCCATACCACGCAGTGGAAAAGTGAAGCGAGCCGAGCCGTACAGAGTTGTACCACACAGTGGAAAAGTGCCATAAAGCTCTCTTTTCCTTGTGAGGCTTTTGGTTGCTTTATCCTCAGATGAACTCTAAGACCAAGGACACTTACTTTCCTGAACACATTATTAGACTATCAGCGACCTGCAGCAGATAATTAGCCAGTGAGCATCTAAGAATGGTATCGTCTCTAACTAAAGGATAAAAAGAAAATAAAAGGGCAGCATCTACCAAGAAGAACCTGTTGAGCTGCATACGCTTCAAATATCATCATCACGCGGTACCATGGAAATGAGTCAGCATCAAATTTCTTCCTGCAGTCTGCTATATCGCACCAAAGCACATTTTAAAATGACATATAATCATCTGTAGTACATACAAGTCAATGATGTGTTGCATTAATGTCACAATTAGCCATTAATTCATACAAAAAAATTAGCCAATTCTATAAGACTAAACCAATGACATTCAATGACAAACTAGAAAAACAGGTAAAACAAGCAAAATAAATAAATATAAAACAAATCTCCCATCTGTTTAAAGGAACAGAAGGACCTCTAGATTGCACCTTACATGCCCATTACATCCTGATCAATGTTCAGTTCAGGCATCAAGAGCCAACCCTCTACATTGCGAGTAAATCACACGCATATGTGACTAAATCTTCACTCTGGGTGACTAAATTATGTCTAATATTAGCCAATGGCTAATAAATTCTCAGATTTTACTCGCCAGTGTGTGAGTTGGAGGCTGAGTATATGATTAGCACAGATATATTTTCACTCACAGAACACTCTGACTGAGCGCTTCAGAGTTTCACTCTCTGTCAAGCGATCTGTGATATTTTTCAGTTCATTTGAATGGATGCGCAGCGCACCTGTGTTTGTGTATTTGGCGTAACGTAAACTCTAGTGTGAAGGCGCACGACTCGCTGTCGCTTTCTCTCACACGCGCAAAGAGCGAGAGCGAGCCTTACATAACATGCAGAACATAACTTATATATATATATTAGTATAGTATAATATTTCAGTCTGGCGAGTAGACAAAAAAAATGTACTAGCCAATGGCGATTCAATTGCCAAGGTGTCCGTAGAGGGTTGAGAGCAGAGGAGGGGCCTTTGTGAGTACTCACAGTGGCACTGGAGGCTTCGGAGCGCGGCTCCAGGTTCAGAGATGTGCTCTCGGCCACTGAGCCTGAACCCACTGCAGAGTCCACCGTGGCACATTCATCATCATCCTCATTTTCCCTCGCCTGTGAAGCGCAGGGAGGAGGGGCAGGGCTCAGAACAGACCCAATTTAGAAAGGGCAGACACTTGCTAATACTGCTACATTTGGGTATTTATACAGAGAAGTAAACCAAACAAAGGCAACCGCTCAATACAAAGGGCCTGGAAAATATGCATTTTATATTGAGCTTTACATTCAAAAAAACATATGCACAGCTACGGCAAGTGAGGTCACACTGAAGAACAAAAACAAGCTGAGGGGAAGAAAGATGACATGCCCTAGATTTGGGCTCTACATTTATCAAGCCTATGCCACTAGGAACAAAGTCTAACACTGCATATATGTGGAATGATTCAGGTTATTAACAGACTGCTGATCAGTTTTGTGCAATCTGACAATCGATCTGGAATTAATTAATCACAATGAATCTCAGTCTTTTGTAGTTAACATGTTAATGCATCATTTTAAAGGAGAGAACATTATAATAAAATGTGCAATTATTGTTTTCAACAATTTTGTGTGGATGGCACTCAACATACATATGTACATATATAAAGACACCAGGCAAATTTCAGCAGCAATGCACTGTACTTGTTTGACTTGCCCTATTCTCTTCCTCACAACAATCAATCTAACGTCCTTTCTTCTTTCATGATATATCAAATGACAAAAATCAATATCAAACTAAATATGCTTCTGCCTTCTGCTAAATGCTTATATACAAATGCAGTTTTAAAACAGCAGATTCTGTATTTTTTCAGAATGCAAACACTGAACTAGGGCTGTGTATCACCAGCAAAGTCACGATATGATACATATCATGGTACAGAGACCACGATACGATACTGCACTGAATTTCACCTCAGCAGAGTTTAGTAAAACAGCTGTTTATTAAACACTGCATACTATAGTGCCATTTCTAACTATTGGCAGAGCAGGCAGTTGACCTCTGCATTATGAAGGGCCTCCATAACTGTACCACAGTACAATATAGGTAATGGCTAGGGTTGGGAACCGTTTTTTTAAAAGAACAGGACCCGTAAGCAATTTATAAGTTTCGATTCTGAAAACAGTTCTGGTGCGACGCGTGACCAAGTGCTGTGAACAGCCTTGCACCGGCGTTTCCCGTAAAGGATGTCACAAACCAAATAACAGAAACGGCGCCCTGCCACTTTAATTACTGAGCACATCGTTTCCCATGACGCGCCGCATCGCGTCTTTAACTGCCGAACACATCGTTTTCCACGACTGTAAGCGCATCGCGTCTTTGATAACTGTGCACGTTTTGTCTGACTGTACACGTACCAGCAGCGTGCAGCTCCTGCCGCCAATAAATTACATTATATTTGTCCCATATGTCATTAATATACATACTGACTTCAACTTGGACCACTAAACAAATAGACTGCTATTGTTATGCAAGTATGAGGGTTAGATTATTTAATGTACAGGTCATTTCAAGAGTGATAAACAAAGTGATGGAAAATATTTATTTTCATGCATTTTAAATGTTTAAAAATGTGGAAACCACTCATTGCATCACACCATCTCCTGACTGCATTAATATTTGTAAAATAGGGGCTTTATGGCATGTGTGAATACATGGTTATAAGTATAAAATTAATATTTCATTAATTTAGGGAAATGAACAAGTGCTTGGCCCTCAAGGGACTATTTGGCCAACCAGCTTATTCCTGCTTGAAAAGCAAAATGTTATTGATAGTGTAAAAAAATAACTTTGAAGCACATGTGATTACTCAACATTACTTACAACCTTACAGCAACACTACATTCAATGAAGGTAAAATAGTGAAGAAAAAATAATAATAGTTAATTTAAATGGAACCGGAATCGGGAATCGTTAGGCAAAACTGGAACCGGAATCTGAAATTTTTTTACGATACCCAACCCGAGTAATGGCATATGTTTCATGTTCACATTGGGCACTACCCTCCAGGTACAATATTCTTATTGTTTGCATCTTGTTTTTAAGCCCATAAATAATAATGTACTCGTTCTAATACATTTTTATTGTAATGTACATTCTAATATATTAAAATTATTTTAACATTGCACCAATCAACACACTCTCTACGTTTAAAAAATTAAAATTAGAAGAGTTCTAAACTAATGCACTGTATTCACTATAGCTCACGCACACACGTTTAGTCACACAGATCACGCTGCGCGTGCACAGACATTCTTTTTAGCGCTCAGACAAACTTTTTAGCGCTGCCCCCGCAATTTTATCAACTAAATAGTTTAATCGCCGAAGAGCTACATTATCTTTCTCAACAAGGAGCTGGTAACATCATCGTTTCTAAAGCAATTAAATCCACAGCTTCACTGTTAATAGAGAAATGCGGCAAAGCGGTGGTAATTCATACATACACAGTCTCTCTCTCTCTCTCATAAATGAACACTTGATAAATTACACTTTTCTGAGAATAGAATATTGAAGTGGAGATCGCTAAACTGCAAGTTTACCAGTGTTTTCAGAAAGCAAGCGTGTTTATCCACAGTGGAGAGAGAGAGCACGTACAAAGGGTTGCCAGGTTGACAAAAATAAGTAACACACTTAGCAGATATTTCCGTATTGTGCAAGTGTGAAGCTCTGTTTCGGGGATTACGTCTCTTTATATCAGGCAACCCAGTTGTGTTCCTCTGCGGCCAGAATAAACCTTGTTGTAGCCTATATATTATGTTCTATTCATTATTTTTTAGAAACCACGCACTTTTCTACTCCATTTTAAACGGTGTTCTTGTATTCAAATTATGCGCGGTCCACTGCTGCACACGTGTCACAATATCGATATGGAGACAGCTGTATCTCTGTGACGATACATCGTCGTATCGATGTATCGAACACAGCACTACACTGAACTATGTAAACCTGCAATTTTTTCCCCACACTTGGACTTAATCTTGTTTCTGCAGCTAATTTGCTGTTGCAGTGCTCTGATGGCCTTCTTATTTATTTGCGGACAAATTAAGGTGATTCACTCATGATTGATATTTCATACTTGTTGAGTTTAAATGTCCTCTTTTTTTTTTTTAGAATACCACAAATAAAACACCTCTACCTGACAGAATTCACTGAAATAGACGTCTTCAGAAATCACACCTGTCTCTGTGACAACATCATAAAAATAATACGCCATTAAATATAGTCAAAAGCATTCACTTTACAGCCCTATTATGGATATTTAGGCAGCAGACACTATTCCTTGAACAGTTTTGCAGGTTAGCAGATCAGGCTTATCATTCACAAATAAAGTTTACACCTTAAAAAGCAAAGATATTACATTAGAACTATTTGAAGTTTAAGATAATTTGCATGACAATTTCTTAAGTATGTTAGATGTATAATTACAATACCATCAGCCACTGAAAAACTGACAGAAAACTGACATTATCTGAACAATTCATACAGCCTAAAAAAAGTCATGGTGTATAAATGTCATAAAAAGTGCATATAAAACACAGTAACAACAAAAAAGGTCTAAAGACCTGTAAGAGAAATACTGACCAGCATCTTCTGAAGAAAACGCAAGTAAGACTTCTCCTGTTCTTTCAGGTGAGTGATGAGGAGAGAGAGACGTTCCACATTTGCAGGCACATCGTTCTTTTCTACCAGGTCGTCTCTCATGGATGTGGCCTTCCCAATGTATTCACGAATTTGCACCAGTTTACTGACCACCTGAATGGAGAAATAAGCTGAGTAAGTGAACAGAGGTGCTCAAGCAGAGAAAGAAATAAAATGAACAAATAAAGACAAGCAGACTGAGAAATAGATGGAAAAGATAGAAAGTAGTGCACAGAGAAACAGAGAAAAGCAGAGAAAGAGACCAAGGAAGAGCTCTTACACGGACAGTGGCATATTTTTAAACTGGCCTAAATTCTGAGCGCACACTGACACATCTGTGCTCCAGTTTTTGCTCAGCAACAACAGGGGTGAATGTTCTAATGAACGCAGCGAAGTTGTGCCATCTACTTTTATTATTAAAAAAGCAGATCATTCTAAAGCCTTTTACAAACAGTCTCCTTGCTATTCTGAATAGGCAGTGTTATAATAGTTGGTGTTAATAATACTTGAAGGTTGATGGTTTCAGACTAATGAGGGAGAAAACACTTATGAATAGAACATAATATATGTTTATATAAGCTACAGCACTGCAAAATTCAGTGAGAAGCGTTTGAATTAGCCTCAGAATGAACAAGGCGGCTTCGAAATCTAATGAGACATTCAAATTCTGCACAGAATTCTCTGTTATAAACAGGTCATACAGTGCTGATGTACTTCAGAAAACCAGAAATAGAAATGCTAACTATAACCATGGCGTTGTGCAGTGTTTTTCTATATAAAAATTTGATTGTGCATGCTACTGTTGTTAATAAAAGTAAATTTTGCATGCTTCCCAACTCAAGCTCAGTGCTTTACTGTCAATTGTATATTACCAAGAAATATTATTAGAAACTGCACATATTAATGCAAAAAAATAGTAATTTGTTTATTAAAATTCTTTATTTTTAATGCCCCCACTCCCCCCCCAAATCTGCTCCTGGCGCCACCATCTGTAGAAGTTAGTGGCGCTGGTGCCACTGCTTTCAAATGTTAGTCTGGAGTAGTGGTCGACCGATATATCGCCAAGGCCGATAAGTTTTTCTGTTTGGCCGATGCGTTCGTGGCGGGACTTTTATTTTGACGGCGCTGAGAACGGCAGCGTCTGAGCACACAGTGCTCACATTCTCCCTCTTGTTCGCTGTCGTCGTTAACAGTCTGTCTAATAATCAGATAGAACTGTTAAACAAAGGAATTAAAATGTATACAAAAAGTATTATAACGATTGCTTTTATATTGTTAGTAATAGAAAGGCAAACATTATAATATTTTCTCGTTTGCCGTCAGCATTCAGCAAATACGCATTTATATAATTTAAACATTTCAAATTTCAAAAACCTTGCAAACTTCAGCAAGTCGAATCCAGCTGTGAGATCTTATGAAGGGTGCATTTGTATCCTGCATGATCGCGTGTACTCTGCATGACAGTCGGTCTGTGCGAATTGAATACGGACAGGAGGAGAGTTCAGCTTCATTGAGACGCGCGATCGACAAACTTTAAACTCGTAATTTCAAATTATGCTGTGCTTCATGCTTTTGCCACTGCCATATTCATGTCATTTTCACTGTGTGCTGTATGTAAAATGAGTGTTACCTTGGCTTTATTTGAAAAAAATATGATTCCCAATGCACACAAACTTCCCAGAATACGGAGTGCCCTGTTGGTTAAAGTGTTTACTTCCTTTTTAATTACATTTTTATTAACTATTTGTTTATTTGTGAAAAATACTTTGTAATTTAAAGTATAAGCATGTTTATTTTACACATTTATTTTTTAATCCATTTTCAAATTATTAAAAATTTCTTAAATATTAAATAAAAT